AACACCTTCATTTATGGAATATTCAGCATTTATCAGTGCTACAAAATACCAGTGCAGGTGGGAGGAAGAGGTGGAAGCATTAAACCTGACACTCCCAGATCCCGATAAAAAGAGTTTCAAAGATAAACTTGTGCGAAATATTACTTTACAAACAAACGAATAAAACAAATATTCAACGGTAAATGAATCGCAAGTCTGCAGTTTGTTACAATTAAACAAGCTATCACTTTTGATGTTTTTATAAAATTGTGTTTATTTTTTCTAGTTTCTCGGCTGTCAGAAAGCTTGTGCCTTTCATCTTGAAGGAAGTAAAAGTAAGCATTTTATTCTATTTTCTCAGTGTTCAAGATTTTTAGAATCAGAGATAACACTAAAACTGTTATTTGTTTGTTTACAAAATTAAATATCAGGCAGATTTTAAAACATTATAAACACTTTATAGGCTGTTTCGAAATCTTAACCACTTGTGAAAAACGCTTTTCGAATTAAACGCACTATTTCAGCAATAGTATTTATTTAAATATAAAGTTACACGCTTGTTGTAGATTGGCTTTTGTTTCAGAACTTGGAAAGAGAACCGTAACTGACAAAAATGTCTTTTGATAAAAGTAAGGTAAATACAGGCTTACATATTGCAACTTACGATCCATAGAAGGCAATGTAGCAAAACATTTGCAAGTAATTTCTGTAATAACAGACATATATCTCCACTGCAGATAACTTCGTGTCGCATTCAGCCCAAATATGGTCCTTTCCTCATACAGTTCGCGTGAAAATTGAATCTAAGACTGACTACATAAATTTCACTTGGTCTGTCCCAGTTTCTTCGAAACCATACAACCCAGGACACGTCATATACGTTGTGATGATGAGAGAAGATCTAAGAAAAAGCTGGGAAGTTTTGGATCAGGTATGAAAGAAATCATTATAATCATATGCAAGGGTGCCTGGCATGGCCAAGTGGATAAACGGCTGAAAGGGCGAGCATGTTTGGTGGTATGCGGATTCGAACCCGCGACCCTCAGATTGTGAGTCGAGCGCCGTTTGTTTGTTTTTGTTTGTTTGTTGGGCTACTCTTTTACCAACGAATAGTGGGATTGACCGTCACATTATAATGCCCCCATATGCAAGGCGACACCTGGATAGTTTTTTTTGTGTACTTATCAAATATTTAAAACTTGTAGGCTCATTTGCTTGTATATAATAATGATTCATTTTCTTGTTCAGATAGAACATGTTTATAAAAGTAAACAACACTTCGTATGTTTTTCGAACAAAGAAGTAAGCTGGAACTAACTTGCCTCCTTTTTTTTTCTTAAGTCACGCAAACAGAAAGTAAACGGGTGGATTGTTCGTTTTAACCTGTATCTAGTTTATACGAAATCGGCTTTTACCATGTAAATATAGATAAAAATGTAAAAACACGTTTGACCCCATTTGTCTAGATAATATCCTTTGAAACAAGTAAGTTTTTAGTAAGACATTCTGTTAGGAAGGATAACTAACACTTCTTTGTATTTTGAATAATACTTTAAATTACAACGCTAAAATCTGGGGTTCGATTCCTCACGGTGGAAGAGTGCGGATATCCCACTGTGTGGGTTTGTAATAAGTAAAAACAAGAACAACATTATTTTCAAGCCCTCAGGGTAACCCGGATACTTTGAAGTTCAACAAAAATCAGCTGGTCTATCATTAGATGGGACATCCTAGAATCAAAATATTTATTAGATCGTTGTGATTTCAAATATATAAAACTCTTCTTTCGTTTAGACTTTGAAAACAACAGCACAAATCAAAGCCGGTTGGTTAAATCGAGTTTCTGAAGTTAAGATCGTTGCTATGACGTCAAATGGAGTTCTCGCAGAACAACTAATTCCATACTCTTCAAACCACGAGAAGCTTAAAGCTCGAGACGAAGCGGAGACTGTTTTGAAATCAACACTTTCTATTTTAAGAGTAAACGAAAAAGGTGTCGATGCATGGAGACCTACCTTACTTTCCTTAGATTACAATCCTAACCTCCTTGGTGTTGAAGCTATCGTCACGTGGCCAGCTCTTCGGCCAATCGGGGCTATCAAGTACGAGGTCACATGGAAAGTTCTGGATAGTTCAGTGGAAATTACTGGACACTTGTACACAGCCGAAAACGTTGTCAAGCTAACCCTGTGGCCAGAAGCATTATATTCTGTGCAGGTTAGTTATATGTTAACATTATTGAAGAAACCATTACATATGCTAAGATCAGTACAGTAATTCATTAAAATGAAATGTAAATTAATTGGTTTATTCAAACATACAAAGACATCGTTTCCGGAAAAGAAAATACGTTTAATTAAAAAAAAATTACGTGTCAAAGTAACGGAATATTATTTTCAAATTGAAGATTGGATTATGATTTTAGATTTTTAAATTATTTTGGCATTATTTACAAATAATATGTGATAGAACCATATAGTACGTAAAAGAACAAGTATTTTTTTCAACTTCCTACCTATAAAATTTAATTTATTTTCATTTATCGTAGTATTTTATTACTGATTTAATATAGGTTAAATGTTACGCTGAGTCTAAAGACGGTGAGTCGGTCAGTGAAGATATAGTAGTGGACACTCATGATGTCATATCACGTGCAACATCGAACTTACAGGAAAGTTCAGGTCGGTCAGGTGAAATCATATAACTATTATTACATTTCAGCATTTCTTATTTATTTTTAATCTGAACTTTTTTACATTTCATTTAATCTTTACGTAACAGCCAAACAAACTTAATTCAGAATTTTATGAATATTAATTCGTACCACAGTTTAGGAGAAACGACATCTGAACACAAAGAAAAAACATGAGGACTGATTATTATTTTGTCTCCCAGTATGCGAATGGTAGATGAAAACAAACACTATTTTATTTTAATCTTAGTGGAAAATAATACAGAAGTGAATATAAATATCTCTACACTGAAGCTACACACATAGTTTAAATCATTTTAAAAGCTATAAATATCTTTAGATCACAGAATTGTACCACATGTTTTTAACCGCGTTAAATCATTTTAGTAGTTAGTTTGTTTGTTTCGAATTTCGCGCAAAGCTACTCGATGGCTATCGGCGCTAAAACAAGTTTAGGTCAAACAATTTTGTTAATATTTCCAATCGCATTGCACGGTTTTTCATTTTTTTCAATACTATATTCGAGGTTCTATACCTACAAGGGGCACAGCACATGTAGCCCATGGTGCAGGTTTACGCTTAAAACCATCGAAAGACTCAATACTTTTCATTAAAATATACGTAACCGTTATTAATCGGTAGTCGTTATCTTATGTTTTTATTTCGATGATGTCATCAAATATACTGCGATCGGTAGTAAAACTATTAAACAATTTTTTTTATTCTACTGATGACGTTTTCTTTTAAACTTAAGGTACACAAATTATTATAGGTTGTTTATAATAACTTCATTTTTTATCTTTCTTACAGGATGTTCGAGAGTGGAATTAATCATCGGCTGTGCAGCAGGAGTTTCCTTGATTTTATCGCTCCTAATGGCTTGCAGTATGTGTAAGAATTCTTGTCTTACAAAGCGTCGTTCTCGACCAATCCAGAAAATATCGGCTCTTCACAGAAAAAGGAGCGAGGAGCCACGTGCTTATTCACAAAGTAAAGTTTAAGAATATTGTTTCCTTATGATATGAAAGCAGGATAAATTAGTTTTATGTTTAATCAATAGGCAAATATTATTTATCATATTACATTTAAGGCCTTTAGACCACGTAATTGTGTTATACATATTTACTGTGGTGTATCTTTAGGCCTATATATCCTTAGATCTCATTGTTGTTCCACAAATACTTTTAACCACATTTAATTATATTTAGGCCAAGTCCGTGTCACATAATTTATTTTGTATATGCTCACAATCATTCCGTATAATATTATTTGTATCGTCATTGCCTAATATCATTCAGGGTATTATGCACAGACCACATGTTAAATAACGCCTAAAGATTATTATATATATAAGGTATAGCTACTTTAAATGTATTTCACTAGGCAGTCCAACTTCCCAGTAAAAAACTATCAGCACAGAAGCTTGGTAGGAATATCTCTATTTCAGGGTAACAGCAGTGTATAATTTTTTGCATTTTCCTACTATGCAGAATTCTCTGGGCTATAACAACATTCTAAAGGTAAATAAACAGAGACCGCAGACAGTTACCAGTGGTTGTTACAATTACAAATCATTTCTTGATAGGAATGTTCAATACTCACAACTGTTTATTAGGAAGTCACTACATGGGTTCAGCGCTATAGTTACTCTTATTCATGTAGAAATAACAACACTGCACTATACCAAAATATATACTTGGCAATATGTTGTTAAACATTTATTTTCGTAGAGACATAATCCTTTGAAGCTCTGGGTAATATACCATCTGAATACAGTAGTATACATTGTTACGTCTCCGTTCGTTAGTTAATTTTCCGTAAGTTCGTTCCGACGAAACTTTAACGACACAAGTCCTTTCTTAAATAAAACTGGTTTATTCTTTCCGAATACAACTTTGATACACTTAATTTCATCAGTCGCTCTATAACAAACGCTATAACGTCTCACGTGCTTGTGCTCGACAATACCCAGTTCAATTACACACTCTCTGACTGCAGTTCAATTACTCATTACATACACATTGTCCCATCACGTTGTGACCATCTTATATATACCAGACTACCCCCAATCTAGTAAACTCCCGACAATTCACGAAGGTTCGAGAAGGAAGTGGCGTGATACTAGTCACGTGACCTCGGTGACGCAACAACATCTTAAAAAAGGGTAAATTGTTAGGAAAACCAGTGGAAAGTATGAACTGCCTTAACATAAGTTGCTTTAAAATTCTCCTCTTTTACCTAATTACTGTCGTGTTGTATATTGTTCCTTTTTATTTTTGGTATTTTTTTTCTTTAATTTAGAGAAGCAACAACCGAAATTTCATAAATATTTTTATCAATTACTTATTTTTTTGCTCTAAGAACGCTTGTCTTCACTAGAAGGCAGGACCAGTCCAGAATCTTCCAAAGAAATGAGCAGTCACGTGATATCCATTGGAGCTGGACCATTGAGTGCCGCTGGAGAGTTTCGAAAAGACATTATAAAGGAAAAGGGATTCCCGCCAAGTGTTTTCACCTTTGGTCTGTCGAATCTGGATAATTCTTCCTCTAAGTCACGGATGTCAAATGTTTGATATGCAACACTTATTTGCCGCTAGTCGTTAATTTTCTTCGTCTAAACAAAATTCGTATTGTACGAGGAACAACAAAAGTTCAAACCATCTCGAAAGAGCTAATTTTTAAACTAGAATTAGTTTCGGTGCAACGAAATTTCGAAGTAGAACTTTGAAAACATTAAATAACTGAAATGTCTTATGCCGGGTTGTACAGCGAAGGCAACTTAATCATTCATGTTTTGTTTTTAGCCACTTTACTCAACTGTATTGAGATATACTCTTTGTAATTGTTTCACTCGTGCATATATGGTACATAAACACATGCACATTTATATGTGTATATTGTATATGATCTAGGAAGACGAGTGAATTACCAAGAAACTTCATATGTTTCAGTTACTGTTTAAGCAATACGAAAATTCTTTTGAATGAAAATTATCAAGATTTATTATAGAATGCAAAATATCCCATTTTTTGTATTTTTGGTTTCAGTGAACAAATGACGTGAACAAGTGACTGTTTTCTGGTAGTATATTATTAAATGTTAATATGCGTTGTACAAAAGAAAACTATTTATTTCTATAACAAAAATATTTATCACTTATCTGAACATAAATAAATAATGAATTTGATGCTTGAAGTATGTGTCTGCTTTCTTTTAGGAACATATATTACTCTTCTACCACAACATATACACTCTACATAACAAAAAGCTGTTCTTTTCTTCGTACAACAGGCCATCCGCACTTTGTCCACCGCGGCAAATCGAATCCCATATTTTAGCGTTGTAAGTCCATTAACTTATTGCTGGGATAATTAAAAGTGTTGGGACAGCATACCTTATGAATAGGGATGTCGTGTTTTGCCGCTGCAATGGGTCCTATTTTGATAAGGTAATAAGGAATACTTAATTTTGTTGTTCGTTACAGACTAAACGTATTTCTTTTCACTAAACCTTCCCAACAATAGCTGATATAAATGTGACAGAAGAGAACATCATTTCTCTTGCAGTACACCTTCCCACCAATATCTGATACAGATGTGACAGAAGGTGGGAAGATGTATTGTAAGAGGATTTGTGGTCTATTCTGTCACATCTGTATCAGCTATTGGTGGGAAGGTGTACTGCAAGAGAAATGATGTTCTCAATAGCTGATACAGATGTGAAAGAATAGACCACCGCTACTCTTGCAATAAATCTTGCTAGTAACACAATAAGATGGAAGGCAGATAATAAGCAAACCCACTACCAGTTCTTAGCCTAGGCTTTGATATATTCTATTGATATATTTCAGGTGGCGCAGAACTTGCACGTTTCAAACCGAACACATACTGCTGAGGTTCTGTCATCGTCTCAGAATCGTGTCTCTAATCCTGTAACAAGGATCGTTCACACCAAGAGTAAAAGAAAAAAAGAACTAAAAAAAACTTTGGACTTTCTTATATATTGGGCTTGCTAAAAACCTGGTTTGGGTAGGTTTTTGTAAATTCGCGCAAAATTAAACATGGGTGGACTACGTTAACCATCCCTAATTTTGAACTGATAAACAAGAGGGAAAACAGCTAATCAGCAACCCACTACCAATTACTGGACTACTCTGATTTAATAGTGGGATTTGACCGTCATTTTTATAACTTATTAACAGCCCCAAACTGCAGATAGCAGTTTTTGTAGATTTTGATACGAGTCAATTACGCTGTATACATCTGGAAACGCGCAAAACATGTTATCCTAGTATGATTTAAGACTGAAAACAATTGATCGCATTGACTGCTTGTTTGTTTGTTGAATTTCACGCAAAGCTAAACGAGAGCTACATGTGATAGCCGTCTAGTTGGACTTGACTGTCATTCTTATAACGCACCTACGGTCCTAAAGCACGAAGCAAGTTTTTTTCTTTTGATCGTAACGAGACATGAACCACGAAACCTCAGATCCACAGTCCGGTGAGTTAACCACTGAGCCACTCAACCTATTGAAGAGCGACACATTTTCATCAACCAGTTCGAAGGATTTGTTTGTTTTGTAGTTAAGCACAAAGCTACTTCAGTTGAAAGGAAAAATTATTATAAAATCTAAAAACGATAAAGATTTCATAGTAAGTCCCAGATAATAAATAAAAATAAGCTTAAAACAATCGCTAAAACTTAGTTATGACATCCGAAGTCAGTTTTAGTTTTCTTGAACGATAGTTTGCTTGTTTGAAGTTAAGCACAAAGCAACACAATGGGCTATCTGTGCTCTGCCCACCACGGGTATCGAAACTCGGATTCTAGCGTTGTAAGTCCACAGACATACTGCTGTGCCACTGGGGAGCTTGAACGATAGTTAAATTAATAAATAGACTTACTAAACAATTGTTTACTTTTTCTTATGTTCAATGTATAACACAAATCATTTTATCTTGTTTGTTGTTAATCGTGAAGCTACACGAGCTATTGGTGCTCTGTCCACCACAGGCATTGAAACCAGATTTTTAGCGTTATAAGCCCTCAGACTTAAAGTTGCGACATTCGGGGTATTATATTAATACAAAGCCACAGTGGGCTATTTGCGGTGTCCACCACGGGGAATCGAACCCTAGATTTTAGCGTTCTAAATCCTTAGACTTACCCATCAAGGGACATTGGTTGTTTTTTCGCCTGTTTTTTCATTAACAAAAATATTCGACAATGTCGAATTACCCATTTCGGCACGTTAAAAAAACATATGGGGATTTTTGTTTTCAACTAAGAGAAATATACCATTAATATATTCAGAGGAATTAAGGAACTTATATCATATTAGTATTATTTCAAAGGAAAACAAATGCCGTCGTTTTTCTTTTTATAACATCAAGTCACGCTTTAAAAATCTGGAAACGCGGAATTTAAAAATTGGATTCTTAACATAAAATCTTCCAACAGTTTATAAAAAGAATTCGGCGTTTAAAGCGCTTTAACTGTCACATCGTTTCGTTAGAGCTTTAATTATCATGTTAACTGGAATCTCAACTTACGTCATACGTTCCCGAAAGGCCGTAGATCTTACATAATTATCATATGATTCATGCGAAATGTCACAAATGTTAAGACTGAACTTAAAACGTGTGTTTCTGTACGTAATACATCAGAAAAATAATGAATACCTACTATCAAATACTCAAACTTCCAGTTTAATACAAAACATTACAGCTTCAGGTGTACACCAGATTCATGTGATCACATCACTAGTAGTAGTTGCGTCCTAGTCCGGACACCGGGTGAGCATGTTTTGGTGTGACGGGGATTCGAACACGCGACCCACAGATTGCGAGTCGAGCGCCCTAACCACCTGGCCATGCCATAGCCATCACATCACTAAAAGGCAATCATGACAACATTAGCTCAAATATCTAAAAGTTACGTCGTGAAATCTTAAGACTGTTATATCCAATAGACATTCTATAATATTTATAATTACGAAATGTGTCAAAAACAAGAATAGTACTGGATCAACCTACTGTGGCACCACGTATCTAGCTTGTAGTTGTACGACTTTCATGCTGCCGGCTGAATCTTAATTAGGACTTCCCCCGCAAAATTGTATAAAAACCGTTAGCATGTGTAAAACAGACTAATCACGTGATGTGTCAGGCGATTTCTGAATCCTATAAATGCAGGAATGCGGTTATTACGTTATGCTTGATCTTCAAGACGACGACAAAGAGCAAGAATCACTTTAACTTATACTAAAGTCACACCAGTAGGTTCTCATTTAGAAGAACTGCTGTATATCAAAGACCTATTTTAAACTATTTGTTCAAAGACATCCATTTGAGTGGGCATGTTTGTAAGAAAGGTCCTCCTGACAGGGGGGATGAGGGGGGGGGAAGAGTTGGCTTTATTGTTTCCTTTATATGGTTTAACAACATCCAGTGCGTACTTACGCGTTGTTGCAGCTCATGTACACCCTACAATGCTCTGTATATTCAGTCTGATTATAATTAAAGAATTCATAACACTCGAATTGTCCAAAAACTGGTTCAAAGGGCAATAAAGGTAGGTTCAGACATTCTTCTTGGTCAAGACAATCACTAGACCTCAGCATGGTTGAGCATTTCTGGGACGAACTTGAGTGTGACATTCAACTAACCATAGACAAGATACCTCTAACCATCTTGTGAAGTCTATGTTATAACAAATCTTGCCTATGATCATGCCAAAAGATGATCCGTCAGGATGTTAGGTTGGGGGGTGGTCCTAATAAAGTGGTCAGTCAGTGCAGTTTTAAAGAGGTTCTGTCACACATTCTACAACTACTTTGCAATAGGTGGTGCAACAGATTTGCATAGATTTAAATACATAAAAATACGCCCAGTCTTGAATTAAATAGTATTATATTGATAAAATCCCAACACTGATTAAGTAAGCAAAATTTTGACAAGAAAAATTAGGAAAAATATAAAAGAAATTAATTTTACCAATCAAGGACACTGTCCATCTTACCAATGATGGATCAAACTCATACATGTGTAACAACTATACCTATATCAACATATTTACTAACAAACCTATAAGACAACTAAAATATAATAAAATATGAAATTTCCAAGAATTTGTAAAGTAACACGTTTTAGAGAATTTCTTTATAGGTATATATTAAATACTTCCATTTGTACACAGTTATCTTAACATATGTTTAATTAATTAAACTGATATTTGTATTGCATATAACAAAATTCATATATAACATTTTTAAGCTACCATTTCCTACGTGCACAGACGCTTAACAATAGAAGCAGTGGTTAATTATGTGTGGTGATACATTTTGTAATAAAAATTATAATGCTAAAAAATAAACAATACAAACGATATTTTTTACAATATTTGTATTACTGACTATCAGTATTTTGTTATATATTCTTTTTCAACTAAACCAAACCAAACATAAAATATTTCTTAAGCTTTAACAGTGTAAATTCTGTATCGTACATATTGTTATTAGCCTAATATATTGCTGTTAAAATAACAAACATAAAATGGAATACAATTAAAGGACTAATGTGAAACTTCTACAGTTAATAAAACCTTCAATTTCACTGAAAACAATTTATGTAAAAAAACTACTCATACTGAATAAGCCGATTTTCTCAACTTGATGAACTTGAATTACCAGCATTTTGAAAACAAAGTTGAAAATGTTTGGTAAGCATACGTGTTCTATTTTCTAGCCAAACCTTTGAATCTACTCATGTTCAGGTTTTTATTCATGCAAGAAATACATGAAAAACATGGCACTTTACTGTTCATGTCCATGTTTCTACTGATACAAGAAACATCTATAAAACATAGTACTTTACTGTTCATGTCCATGTTTCTGTTGATACAAGAAACATCTATAAAACATAGTACTTTACTGTTCATGTCCATGTTTCTACTGATACAAGAAACATCTATAAAACATAGTACTTTACTGTTCATATCCATGTTTCTGTTGATACAAGAAACAATATACAATGCAATACTTTACTGCTCATAAACAGATTTATATTCACAATATCAAAATTAGTTGACTTTATCCAGTTTCCAGCTTGATAATGTAAGTTACATCCAGTATACTTATCTAGCTTCAAAAGGAAAGGTTTATAAAAGGCTACAAAATGCTCATGAACGGGTTATGTATCAGTTTTGGATGATAATGTCCTCATCCTCATTAATATCAAATGCCTTGCAAAGTTTCCATGTGGAGACATAGGCACCCTCTAAGAAGATGAAGTAGGAGCTCCGTGAACTGTCTCCAAACAATATTTTGAACAAGGTTGTTTTAAATTACTAAACAAGTTACCTAAACACAGAGAAATAAGCTATTTGAACCAGTACTTACTCCAGGTAGTTGTATAGAGAAATGCAGGGATTTTTAGGTTTGTATCAAAGAGTTAAGTAATAACAGAAGCAACACAGATGTGTTAATAAAGGAAGCCAACTAAAAATTAAATATGTATTTAGCATACACTGGTTAATACAATATTTAATAATGTTCAAAATTCACTTAAACAATTGCTTCAGAAAAAATAAAATTTGTACCAAGTATGGTTATCTCGTGAACTGTGATATACAATCAATGAACATGGCTTATTACTGACAGTTGGTCATCAAAATCAAGCCTAGCATCATTAATGTGGAGCATACATGCTATTAATATTATATATATTACAGTGGTCATGAGGGTGTTTATATACCTATATCACTCACAATTCAAAACAGTATTAAATAGAGTGAAACAGCTTGTTCTGACAAAAATTATGATAAACAGTAGATTATTGCCACTGTTATCATGTAGCTGCAAAACCTAAACAAGATCTTGTTTGTTAATGTATTGTAATTTGTGTCTGCAAATGGCATAAACATTTTAAAAAGTGTGTCTGGTGTATGGCAATACACTGCTCAATTGTACAGCCATTTACGGCCTTAAAAATATTGAGTTGTTTTACTGTGTGGTAAAACTAATATGGCTCCAGCCACTTTAGTGGTAGTACAGTAATTAATGGGTGCATTATTGTAGCTTTCTACAGTTCTGCACAGTTCACACAGTAGAGCTGCACAAATAAGTGCTCTTTAACTTCCAGAAGTTTCTATTGGCACACTCGTGAATGATCCAATTCTGTGTTAAAAATAAAATAAAAAGTTGTAATGTCATTATTTGTGTTTATTATGACTACATTTGACTATTTAATTTGCTAAATTAATCCTGTGCCAAATTACACATTTTGAAATAGTAGGATAATTCATAATTTTTTTTAACCACAAAATGTTGCTGTTACACTTTGTAAGAAATTTAAAATTACTGACAGAATTCTGGGAGTGATTAGTCCTTAAGGAAAAAAATTATTCAGAGCACTGTATGTATCACTAATAATAAAACAAACTGACTAAAGATTTTCTATAGTATTAACACTTTCTTCAAGGCCATCTTTTGTACAACAGCTCTGATCTTCTCTGCTTTTGGACCTATGATTAATTACTTCTGCTTTATTAAAGCTTATACCAGATAATTCCAGAGATTCTGGTCCACTAGTCATGTCTTCCCAAGAGTCATCTCCCTCACTCTCTGTGGTAGATGAGTTTATGCTCATTTTTGTTTTACAATTTTCATCTTCTACTGGTGCTTTGTCAATTTCTTCAAGTTCTGACTTGATAGCAGTGCAGGATAAAACATCCTCTTTAAAATCTGTGGCATTCTGATGTGGCGAAACAGAGCTATTGTTTTTTGCTTCTACACAGCTATCGTTAGAAGTAACAGCAGTATTCTTGCCAATAGTTGTTTGAACTGTTGCAGATGAGCTAGAAATCTTACAATCCTGGTTTTCTGTTAAGTTAATTTTTGTTTTAAAAGTATCTGATAATTCTGTTTCAATAGAGCATTTGTCTCTTTCTGACTCTTTAGATTCATTAGGTAAGGAAGAACCTGATTTTTGTCTTTTAGATACATATATGACTGGTTTCTTGGGGGGTTTGTTTTGGTGACCAGTGGTGGTCAACATTCTCTGCTGTGAAGACTTTGAACTAATTGTTGGTGGTATTACCCGTGAAACATTCACACCAGTAGTACTCATTTCATTTTTCACTTTCACGGTTATGGTCATGTCTTGATTTAATCTTACAGACCTGTTACGTGTTGGTGCCACATCGCTCTCATCTTCAATATCAGGATCTGTGTCCAACATGAAGTTTCCAAAAGACGAGTAGCATCCCCTTTGTCTCAAGAATCTTCTTCCTCCTCTTCTGGGTCCCCAACTTGGTGGTCTACCTAATGGTTAGAAATTAAGATCTGTATAGAAACCATTCCCCTATGCAAGGTGTGGCTGTAACTTCTTGTAAAATTCAGTATCAGATACATAAATGGATATAGAAATTTATAAATTT